CATGGAGGAATGCTGCTTACTGGCTTGCTCCCCTGACCTATACTCAGCCTGCTTTCTTATATAACCCAAGACCACCTGTTCAAGGTTGGTATCACCCACAGTGGGCTGGGTCCTTCCACATAACTTAACAATTTTTAAAAATGCCTCACAAACATGCACACAGGCTAATCCAGTAGAGGAAATCCTCCAGTTAAGGGTCTCACTTCCCAAGTGTGTCTGATTGACAATTGAAGTTATCCAGCACAATTGACCCCTTGTCACGTTGACACACAAGCACAAGCCTTAACATTTTCATTTTTAAAATGAGCTCCTCAAAAATAGGTCTTCATTTCTTTATATCTATTGTTTTGTATAATAATGGGAATATACACAGACTGAATGAATGTGTCTTTATTGTGACCTCTGCCTGTCATACTTTTAAAAATATTTTAAATTTTCCTTATCTGTTCCCACATCTATTAAATGGATATGATAATAATATCTCCTAGTGTTGAGAGAGAGAAACACCTACATATGTCATCTAATGCAGACTGCATAGCAAGCAATATACATCAAACAAAACAGAAAGAATGTATTTCCACAGCCTGGTAAATGAAAGCTAACCATTGTTTCATGATTTTTTTTCTTTTTCAGCCCTTCCTTTTACCTGTTATGAAAGAGCCAGCCTAGGGACAGGAAGTTTGTTTGTGGCATCTTTGATGTTCTGAGTCACTGAAGTAGTTAAGGAAGCAAATTACAAAGCCACAGTTACTTCGTGGGCCCTCAGGGCAAGAGGTACGAACAACAAAAACTCCTGCCAGAATGGATATGCTGGGCAGAGCAAGTGGGGTTTCCCAGGAATCTCTCCAGCAAAGTGAGGAGAAATATTCTACCTGGTCTGTGTAAAGGCGTAAGGAATCCACACAGTGAGCCCCTCAATAAATCAATAAGTAAGCCCATCCCCAGAAGAGCAGGTGACAAAAAAACCACAAAGAGGCAAAATGAGAACTCCGTGGGACTCTTCCCTTGCCTGAGAAGCCTGCCCCAGAACAGACTCCTGAGACACACTGTTTACAATTTGAACAAAGCTGAGGCTGATTCCAGCAAAGGGCAGTGCCGCCAGTTTACAACTGCCAGACATATTATTGCAAAACTGTTTTTGAGACAATTGGGGGGGGTGGTGCTGTGAAGCAGAAAATGAAAACTGAGTCCCTTGCTTCGAAGTACAAAAAGGACCCTTGGAAACCACCCCCTCATAATCAGTCCTATACTGAAGAAGGTAAGGAGGGGTGCTGTGCCCCTGCAATGTACAGGAGCACTGACGAAGGCACCGAGCACATGGAACCAAGGGGTGGAGGGACAGACAGAGGATTAGAAGAGACATCCAAGAGTTGCCTTAACTCCACACCCCCCACCACCAATGCCAAGATTTGGAGCTATGGTCGCTGAGCATCCTCCATGCAGCTCTGAGGACATTTTGGATGGTGCACTAAGAAGCACTCCCAAGAAAGTATATTGTTAATGCTTTTTTCAGAGGAGCTTTCAAAATTAGAGTAATTTATGTCAGAATTAGACAATTTAGGAGGAAAGCCTGACAGAAATGCAATTGCAAGAGATACATATAATAAACACTATGAAGGCAGACACTCAAAATCTGTTCAGGATTTGAAAACCAAAATGAAGAAGTAACACATTTTAAATGGGTACGGCTTAGTTACGTAAAAAAGAACAGTTTTACTGCCTACATAAAGCAAAGGCTACAGAGACTGTAGGATTGGGCAGGAAGTATTGGGGCTGCCCATTGGCTCAAGTCCAAGCTCTCTGGAGGCCAGGACTCTTTTGGCCAAAAAGACCCGGGGTTTGCACTGCGTATGGACCAGCTGGGCCACCCTGAATTTCCAACCACATGGAGTACCTCTCTGCTTCCTGAACATCTCTGTTAGGGCTGTCATTCACACATTTATCCAAACCTTCCTGGACTCCATTTACATTGCCAACTTGGACCACCTTCGGGAGATAATCCATTCCATAAATTCATTACCCAATGTGTGAAGTAGTATTTCTGCTGACTTGTCCTGAACTTGCCTCGCTCATGTTCCTCAGCTGCTGCTGCATTTCAGGATCTGATGAACAAGTCTGTGCCCATCTCACCCACACCACTTATAGCTTCTTCATTTCCTCCTAATAGCCTTCGTCTTGCCAGCTGCCCTCTGCCTTGTATCATCCAGGTTGCTCTTCAAGGACTTTCCCCAGCTCTGCTTTCACCTTCTACCAGTCCTGTCCAACCTATGACATGACCCAGGGGCCACATTTGGCCAAGGAAGGCTATAAATAAGGACCAACACAAAGTTATAAACTTATTTAAAACATTGTGACTTATTTTTTCAGTTTTTTGTAACTTGTTTCTTGAGTGTGAACTTTGTAGATGACAATGTTATGTTGCAGGGTTAAAAGCTGGACATGCCTGAGCCTCATACAGTGTTGTAGGCAAGAATAAACCACAGTTTTAGATGAAAGTCAGATAATGTTCTCAATTTAATATTTGCTGTACTAATGAAGGCACCCAGTGTTTTGTCGTGTGCAGCACCATTCTGACTTCTACACTCCTAGTATGTGACCTGATGGGAGCAACTATCTTCCACAGGAGGATTGCACAGATGGATCAGTGCTGGTCAGTGCTGCCAGCAACCTGCCTAAAACAGAGTATTAGCATAAGACAACAGCGAGTATAGTCAGTCTTTGCCTTCAAAGCAGGCTGCAGTTCAGTGCTTAATACTCCATTGGTTTTCATAATGTCTGAGAAGGAGCCAACAGCTTTTGTCTGAAACATTTTGATATGAAACCAGAGCTCACCAGGTGCTTAAGCTAGTGGGGGGGGGGGTAGTCACCCACAAAGGGGGTTTAAATTTCCAGTCTTGGTTCACAAACCTGCTATTTTGGGCTTTTCTTAATTAGATGTTAATGCTCTGTTTCACTCCATTTGGAGTCCACTAACCTCATAGCCACCTTCAAACATCCTTACTAAAAACGAGAAAACTAATGAGGAATAAGGAAAACCTAACAGTACTGTGGATGCCTAGGGCCATTCATGAGTTCATAGGACTTGGGATTTCACTGCCAAATGGGAAAAACAGGAGGTAGATGCTCTAACTTGCTTTTTCTAAGGGCTACATCATCCATCCAGAATGAGAAACCTCTGGCCAGATGCCTGCTCCTTTTCCTGTGCCATGATTACATCTTCATGTCAGAACCTCCACAGACCCCAGCAGCCTCAGCAGTCCAGTGACAGCACTCCTACAGTCTTGCCATCTGTAAGTCCCTGATCTGTTGGCCACAGAAGCTGCTGGTATTCAGTTACTTCTAGATTTTCACTGAATGTGTCTCCCTATGAACTAAGATAGCACTGAGATAGCACCTTATGGATAGGTCTGTAGTTTTCCTTCTATATCTAACCATGAAGCCCTGAGCTCATGATGACTGCCTCAGTTTCTCTCATTTAGTTTCTCCTTTTTCTTTCTGAAAAGCAACTCTACAGCCTGAACTAGTCTGTACTGTTGCTAAGGAAAGAATTTTCTATAGTTTTCCCCCAATAGGTCTCATCCTAGCTCTTCACATCACCTTTGCTCAAGAGTAGAATTATTTCGTGGAAGCCATTCTCTCCTCCACCAGATGATGTGATGGTGAAGGGCAGACTGAACTGGAAATAGTGAGGCTCTGACCTGGGCTCTATTGTTTATTAGCTGTGACCTTGAAAAAGTGACTTATCATCCTCTGAACCTGTATTCTCATCTGCAAAGGGAGGATCAAATTACATCTCACACATATAAGATTGAGTGATACACTTTGCAAAGCTCCAGGTGGAGGGAGTATCAGATCCCCAGGCCTGCTCTTAAGGCTTCCTGTTATTGTCCAAGCCTGGCTCCATGCTCTGTTACTCTGGCTTAAGACTTGACACACTGACCCAGGGAAGCCCTCAGTCTGGGCACCCTCAAGCTGCTGGTGGAGGCTGTGTCTGGCCCCTTTCTTGCTAAGAAAGTTGTCTTCTTTCAGAGCCTGTCCTCTCACTCCCTTCTTGCCCTACCTGACTACTCCATAGCCAGCAAATTTCTGGAACCACTCTTCCCCAGTGTATTCAAATCTAGACTGAATTCACTCTGCCTGGATTTCTAGAAAGATCTCACCTGATCTTCCTTTGAAAGAACACATAGCCACACACACACACCCTCAAAAAAAAATTAATAAAACAAAACTATCTTGGCATTTCTGAGTGCTGGGTTTTCTCTTTGGTCTTTCAACTCAGAGGGAGTTAGCTTTTCCTCCGAGTAAACAAGCGATCTCTTGTCCCTCCATTGTAACAGATGGTTTCACCAGTCATTTTAATGCCCACACTCAGAGGCCAAAGAGCCGGGATTCTCAGTCACACTTAGTTACTGGAGAGCGAATTCCAGACAAATATCCGGCAGTCGTGTAGGCAGACTCTCTCTCATCCTCACCAGGGCAAGACCTCCCAAGAAGACTCTGAGGAAACCCCTCCATCCTCTACCGTCACACTCTCTCATCCCTGGAAACACAGAAGACACTGAACAAACTCCCCTGTAAGGATCATCAGAACCTTTTCATCTTCCTGCCGACCTATTCCCAAGAGATCTGAATAAACAACACGGAGAGCAAATGCGGATGAGAAAGAAGAACCCCTAAGAACTTTCTGGAGTTAGCTGTCCCCATTTTCTGCGCATAACTTTCCCTCACAGCTTCAGCGAGCCGCCAAAGACTTTGCTGAAGTGTTGCCCGCAGCCCTTGAAGCACACAGCGATGCCTAGCGAAGATGAGGCATGGGGCCTTCACCCACGCTACCACCTGCTCTCCCTCAAGATGCTCGGACACCTTTCCTAAAAGACGCCTCTATCAGCCGGGTGTGCGCAGTGTTTGTCCCAGGTCCCTGAGAACTCTGGTGCGCCTGTGATGGAAGGGAGCTGGCTGGGCGGGCCGGCCAGAAGGAGGCGTGCTCGGGGCGGAGGGGCAGAGCTCGTCACGCGGGGCCGGGTGGGGACACTGGCGGGAAGGCAGAGAGTGAGGGCGCGGCTGCGGGGTGTGCGCCCAAGTCCAAGGGCACCAGTGGTCTGCTGGCTCCGGGTGGAAAGCTAGAGCCGGGCGCGGCAGGGAAGCTCCGGAGCCAGAGTCCGATTCAGGAAGTCGTGTTTTTTGCATCAGGAGCAGGACAGGTTGCAGTGAAACCTCAAGTATGCGAGGCATCGGCCCGCGGGACGGCCTGGGACCTAGGGGCGCTTTCCTCGACGCAAGTGGCAGGTACGCGCGGCGCAACTGGGCGCAGCACCCGCCGACCCCTTGCGCGCAGTCTTCCCGGGACCTGGCAGTGGGAGGGAGGGGCTGGAGGAGGGACCCAGACCTCGCCCCCGTGTCCTGGTCGCCTTCACCCTGGGCAGCACCCTCAGGTCCCGGGCAATTGAGCCTACAGGAAGCCTGGGTTGGACCCAAAGGTGAGCTTTAAAACTTCTCCCCCCCGCCCCCCAAATACATCTGTAAGCTGCCTCTTGTTTGGAAGGAGACTTCTTATTCACTCTCTGTAGAAGGATGAGATCCGCCCCAGAAAGAAGTGAGATGAACGGGTTATTTCTAAGAGAATTCTTTGGTTCTCTTTAGTTCTACTTTACTTTTCTCCTAGCGTTCTCGCAGCTTCCCTCGGCTCCTGGCCTGCCACATGGGCTCCTCCGGAGTCTGGGGTGGAGCTCTCACAACCTGGGTTGACCACAGCTGCGTGAGAAGCGGCTTGATGGGGGGCAGAAGCACATTCTGTCTGAGAAAGGCAAGGTCCAGGACTCCGCTAAAAACACCCGGGCTTCTTCGTCCTCCTAGATGAAGCCACATTTCCTATGGGCCTAAGAAACTGGCCAAAATGAAAATGTGGCCTAGAGCCAGGGGTGGTGTGTAAGACGGGTGTGAGACGGGTGTGCTATTCTGAGTCTCTGAGGAATTTGTGTGGCACAGATTGTTTCTAAACTTTTTTGACTCTCTAAATGGTCCCCTCTTGATCCTCTTCCCACCCATGAAGGTAGATGGGGGGAGGCAGCAGATCCTGTTCCCCTATATTTTGAAGGACTTTGTGGAAATGCTTTGTGCAGTAATAGTTAAGTAAACGATAGATGTTAGCATGAACACCAGCCCTGCCTAACTGAAAGGGAACCTGAAGCAGAGGCCAGTGCTTGTCCTATTTAGCAGAGAACAGCCAGTCAGCACACCCTGAGACTGTGCAGGACTGCCCCACCCATTCTGCTTAACAAGGAATGGCAGGAACACTACACCTAAGCATCCCCCAAGCACCTGCCTTCTGAAGCCCTTGCATTACACCCATTCATCTAAAGCTAATAGGAACCTGAAGCTAATTTTAAGGAACCCCATTCTGAACTCCTGTTAGAAACAAAGAGCACAACTTAAAAATCACATGAATGCATCTTGTTCCTAACCCTTTTACAATTGGGTTGCAAATCCTACCTAAAGAATTCTGCAGCTGGAAGGTACTGTTACATTAAGTGCAGCTGTGTATACTGGGTTTTTATTTTTGTAAATGTAACCTTTTTTGAAGTAAACCTTCCTAATCTATAGAGTTGAAGGGGGAAAAGAATTCTGCAAGGTCCCACCTGCCTTTGAGCTAATTCAGCTCTACCAGCTACTTAGTCTGATGTGCCTACCCTTTGCCCAGGGCCTCCCTTAGTCTGAAATTCTTTCCCATGCCCACATATGATAAAATCCTAGGAAAGAGGCCCATTAAAAAAACAAATGTTTCTCTGGACTTCATGCATTGTCAACTTTTGACCTATAAAATGAAAAGGGGCTGACTTCTGCCCTTCCCCCTCAAGATTAAACCTAAGAAGACAGTAAGTATTCAATAAGCTGCTTTACTGATTTTATCAAAGAGTGAGGCAAAGCCATCCCATTTATTGGCTGATATGACAGGGCCATGGTCTCTAAGGCGATGAGATTGTTTCTGCTTTTGAGGATTCCCAGGCTGGCAATTAGATGCTTCAGAAACAAACTACAGCTCAGAACAATGTACATCATATTAATAGCAGTGAAACCATCTGAAGGAGGAGGCAGGAATTACCTGGGAAGTCAGCACCTCTGAAGTGGTGCATGAGGGGGTCTTGAAAGTGATTAGGACTTCCCAGGGAAAGGGTACTGTAGGTAAAGGAGAAACCATTCACAAAGTCAGTCCCAGGTTTGGAGGGCAGCACTGAATGAGAATTGTGTACTCTACTGACAAGAGTAAAATCTTTCCTGCAGCCATACCAAGCCATTTTTGGTTTTTAAATAGAGGAATGGTACACTCTGATTTGTGTTTGGAGAAAGAATTACCAGCTAGATGGGGCTTGGCTTAGGAAGAAGAGAAGTGCAGACAATGAAGATCAAAGACTAAGACGATGGAAAGTGAGGGATAGGAACTGGGGAGATAACTCAGTGAGTAAAGTGCTTGCTGTACACACATGAGGACTGAAGTTCCATCCGCAGCACCCAAGTAAACAGCCAAGTGTCATGGCCTGAACATGTAATTCCAGCACTGGGGAGGAGGAGACAGATTCCTGGAGCTCACTAACTAGCTGGCATAGATGAATCGGAGAGATCCAGGTCTCAGCAAGAAACCCTGTCTCAAAAAACCAAGTAGACTCCTGAAGAATGACACCTGGGGTAGGCGGCGGGGGGGGGGGGGATAGATTAAAAAATAGCTAATGCCCAGGGGAATGTATTAAGGGAGGTGTGAGTGGAACAGAGAGTGAGTGTAAGGTGCTGAACTGGAACAAAAGAAGATGTGCTGTGTGCCATTCGTGAAATCATGTAAGGGTGAGGGGGTGGCTCTGAAAACAGCCTGTAGGAGAAGACAGCTATTAACATTTGAGATATATTTAACCTGAGCAGGTCCAGGAGGTGTCCAGGCAGAAATACATGACCAGCAGTTGGGTATGCAGGTCTGGAGCTTATGTAGAGGTCAAGGCTGCTCTGTACAGAGGCTGTACATAAAAGTAGGAGTGAAGGCAGCTAATGAGGCCTGGGGTGGCCCCATCCATGAGGCTACACCGACACCAAGGAGCTTTGACTTTGTCAGTAGTGGTGGTCTGTGGGCGTTGTTTTCTTATTGTATGGAGAAATGACTCGCCGTACTCAGGGCTTTTCCTAAAATGGTAAATCAACTTGGGATTAATAACACACAAGTATTACATGTGCATATGACTAAATGAGTGAATCTCTAGGAATCACTCCCCTGTGTGAAAAAAAAAAAAAAGAGCATTTTGTTTAGCTGAAAGATATGCTACCACCTCAGTAACGTGCATACCTATGTTCCCATACCTATGTGGGGAAGTCCGGTCTTCACTAAAATGCAGAGGATGACCTTCTGAGACTAACTTCAGACCCTTGCAAAGTTGTTCTTTAGATCTGGCTGCCAGTGCCCAGATCCAGATCTTGTGCAACATGTGTGGACATAAAGAAGTAATAAAATATTCAGCCTTGAATTTGGAGTCAGATCGATGTAGGTTCAATCCCTGGCTTGACCACTTACCGGTCCCCTTTGAACAAGTCTTTGATTCTCTCAGCTTCATTTCCCTTGTATTTAAAATAGAGATAATTATTAGTCACCAGGGCAATGGTTAGAATCAGAATCCAATTGAAAAAGAAAGTACATTTAATGTGCTACATAAATTTTAAGGCTCTATAAAATGTAAGGGGTTTATTATTATCTTCTCTTGAAGCTACCTAAATCAGATGGAGTGTGTAGATGCTGGATCTAAATAGCATCATGGGCCAGACTTGGTGCTTTTAAATTGCATGAAGTATTTTAAGACAGTAATGATAAAAAGTCTCTTTTCATGTTATCAGTGATGTGTATTTAGTCTTGCCTCATCTTTGTCCTTTTCTACTGCTTAGTTAAAGGGGTCAGAGCCCAAACAAGCAGTGCTCTGATAATGCTGTTCACTGCACAAGGACTCTTGGGACCTCTTAAGCTAAAAGTGGCAAAGATTATATCTTCTAGGCCACTGAGCCACCCCTCTTGCAGTCGAGTCAATCCACAGATCACTTTTTTTTAAATCCTCATGAAGATGGCAGTTAAACAGGATGAAGCTCTAAATCTGAACATCTTCTCTCATCCCAACCAGTGAAGCCTGTAACCTGAAGAGATACAGATGTATCTCATAGTCCAACACAGTGGAGCTTAAATCTTATGCCAGCATCAGCGTTCTAGTGGAGGCTGATGGATGGTGAAAAGGAAGAAGTAACCATAGATTCAGAGACTTCAAAAAAACACTTTAGAGATGAGCCAACCTCACCCTTTCACATCACAGATGAACAAACTAGGGTTCATGAAGGGGAGGGGAGTGCTTCAGTCACACAGCTGGTTAGTGGAAGGACCAGAATCTAAGCTCCATAACTTTCTCTTCAGGAATATCTAATACCATGTAAGGCTGGTATCATCTAGACTTCTGTATACAAGGACACATCCAGCACTCAAATGATGGCAGAGATAAAATGAAAAGATCATACTTAAAAGCTGAATCTGGGGCTGGAGAGATGGCTCAGTGGTTAAGAGCACTGACTGCTCTTGCAGAGGACATAGATTTGATTCCCAACACCCATATGGTAGCTAACAACCGTCCATAACTCCAGTTCCAGGTCATCTAACGCCTTCTTCTGACCTCCTTGGGCATTGCATGACATGGGTATACTTACACACGTGCAGGCAATACACTCATACACATAAAATAAGAAATAATAAATAAAATATTTTTTTCTAGAAAAAGAGCTTAATCTTCCTGAAGTGGATTCTGGGGCAAACTCCAGATCTTGAAGAGACTCAGGTAGACCTCACCCTTTAAAACAACCTCCATACCATCTCTGTTCCTTCTGTTTCTGCGATTTTAATCCTTAAATGTTTCTTAGGAGTTCCCAAACACTCTTCAAGCACGGAGACCACACTGGGTACTTTAATTTGCTAAAGCCCTTTTAGTGTTTGCTCAAACATGTCATAAAAACTGGGCTCAGGATTAGAATGGATTTAGAGACCAGCATAATTGCCCATCCTCGTCAAATACCAACATATAACTAATTTGTTTGATGAAAAGGGTTTCAGGTGAACAATTGGAGTTCATGACACTCATCATAGTTACAGTGAAAGAGGTTAGGACAGTGGCAAGATAGACCTTTTCCCTCTCCAAACAGCAAAGGGAAAATCTATAGCAAACTCTTTGAAAGGCAATCCCTAGAGCCACAAGCCAGCTCAGGTGTCTGTCCTTTCCCCTACA